TTTGCTTCCCTGTTACCCTTCTTTCCTGGCTATTTATAGGAACAACATTTTGAAAAACACACAAAAACAATTCTTTCCTGGCAAAAGTGGGATTTTTTAATTTTTTTTTTCCATTGGTTCAGGAATGCTTTTGCACTTAACACCTCCATGAACTTTTTTTGTGACACAATATCTCATCTGGTAGGTCCATTCAGAGATGGTTGGCTGGCGCGCCAAATGCAGTCTCCAAACCCTATCTTCCCCAGGTGCTAAATCACCTTTCCTGATAGTCTGAGCTGAATCTGGGAAGGTGTTTGGTTTAACCTTGAATGGTACCCTCAGATCTCAGCCATTCCCCCTTCTGGACACCCAATAGCCCTGCGAATATTCCAAACTGATAATGTCAGTCTTGAAAGAGCAGTGGTCTGAGAAAGCACTTTTCACTGCATTTTTTCCTGAGCAGAGATCAAATATGGATGTTCTAGGGGAAAAACAAAGAGCAGAGATCCACGTGGAAAGTCAGGGTTGTGGATGTGCTCACCCCACAGCTGCCAGCAGTGCGCTCGCCTGCTAGCATAGGATAACATATCAGCATTCACTTTAGCTCACTCTTTACTCTGGCACCTCATGTACAACTTGTTGTGACTTGCAAAGGGCACCTCACAGCCCGCAATGCAGCACAGAGGCATCCAGCAATGCCCCAGCAGAGACATCCAGCAATGCCCCAGCAGAGACATCCAGCAATGCCCCAGCAGTCAGTGGTAAGGTCTGGTTGAGCTCAGCCAGGATACTTATAACTTCCCGAGCTCTGGCAGTGTACTGGTGAGGGGGCCCAGCTTTCTGCCCTTGTGCCACCCTTGCTCTCTGCCCCAGTCCATGCAACCACTGATCCTCCTTTTGCACTGATCCTCCTCCAACAACCATCTCAGGCCAAATCTTGTGCCAGTTACCTTACCCCTGGGCAGTAACTCATCTAGACATCACCAGAACCCAGCAGCATTATGAGTCCATTTCCATCTTTTTTTGATGAGCCCCTGAAACAACAGCTCATCACCAGCTACCTGGGCATTTGCTCTGATTCTCTTTGCAAAAAAAAGAGACTGTTTTGCTTTTTCTTTGTGTTTTGTGCTGTTTTTCTCTCACTAGTGTTCCATGCTTTGATATAGACATATTTCTCCGGAAAGGCTCCTGTGCATCAGGATTTCTGTTTTCATTTATGACCTTAAGGGAAAACATCTGTTGCTGTTGCTCTCTTACCATTTGTCTTCAGCTTTCCTTGTAACTGTTGTTTTACTTGTGCTATCATCATTCTTTTTGTATCCTCACTATCTTTCTGCACGGTATCTCTCTGTCTCTGTGATAGGTCACATGCTGGTGCCAGTGTTTTTCAGGACAAAGTCAAATTCTTTATTTTTAGGAGGTGTTTAAGATAATCTCTTGTCTGTTACTGCTCTTTGGGGTTTTAATGATCTATTCTCTTGTTCCAGACTAATTTTCCCCATCTGAAATAGACCCAGGGAGATAATGTGTCTCAAAATTTCAATTTTCTTATTTTTCTCTACAGTGGACAATGGCTGGGCTTTCTCTGGCTTGGTTTTTAGCTTTTTTAGCTGTATTATTGTTACCTTGATGCTTTTTGTTAATGGCTGTTGCAGGAAGATATTGAATACTAAGCAGAGGCCCAGATTCATCTAATTTATGCTACCTCTCAAAGTACCTTGTCATTCTTTTATAAAACCAGTGGAGACAGAAGGACAACTGAGACCTTAAGTGAGTGAATTTGCCCTCACTTCTCTCTTGACTAAACCACCACCAAATTACATAGTGAGACTGTAGTGCAACCGTGCTCCTAACTGAGGCAATTCAGGAAAGGGTTAGAGTTAGATGGGTATCAGTCAAACCACAGAGGGAAGACATAATTCTTAAAGAGAGTGCCACTGAGGGGGTGATCAGCACAATATCCCAGCAGAATCTCTCTTCTGTGTTATATTCTAGTAAAGGAAAAGCAGGGAAACACATAGAAAGCATAAGATCAGCAGTGTCACCAGCTTGAGTCAGTTCTGTTTTACCTTTAAGTGACTCTTTACTTGAAACTAAATGGTGAATTCAGTGCAGTTCCTTGACACCTTAAGTGCTGCCACTGAGATGTGAACAAGCCATGTACACTGAAATATTGTCTGGGCTTTCAGTAAGTGAGTGATACAGGCACCGATTTCTTTTCCAAGTATGTTATGAAGGGCTTAATATAATTAAGTTACAATTGGCAGGCATACTTGCTAATGCATGACAAAATCTGATTGCCTTGGAAGAATATTCCCCAAAGAATAATGTGAGTAAGAGAGGTACTTCTCTATTCCAGATAATAAAATATAGGAATTTGGTTTCAGGAAGTGAAATGCAACCATTTTAGATGCACAGGCCTTAGTTGAGTATAAGCAAAAAGACATGTTATTGGAGTAGACCATATTGATACCACAGATCCCTGCAAGATCAAGAATAATGAAAACAAGATCTTCCAAGACAGCTGACCTGCAGATCTCTGCACATCCCACATTCTCTTCAGCTATCTACCATTCTTTCAAACTAGAAGGGGCACTTGTCCTCTTCTGATTACAACATGCTTGTGTAAGGCTCAATTTACAAACCATATTATACCTGTTCTACAAGGGGAATTGTCAAGTGTTGCACTGTAATGGCCTTTCATCTCTGAACAATCTGTAGGCTAAGATTTGGATTTTGTCTTTGAAAATGAGTAAAGGCTTTACATGGGTTTTGAATTCGTTCTTGTTTCGCTCTCAGGGGCTCTTTTCCTGTGAGATTAAATGCCTTGCAAGGCTGGTCTTTGTTATTTCCATCACTAGGTGCTTCCTGCACTCTGCAGGCTCCCTCTAGTTTTTGATTCCATGCAGGATTCAAAGGAAAGGAGAAGATTCTAGTAGAAATTTAGAAATGCTCGTGTTAGTCTCTTTCTTCCTAAAGTTATGAAGAGAAAATAGTGACAGATGCTATTGCTGAAACACAACCCAGTCTCTGATCTTAGTATGCAAAATGTTTTTCTAGGGATCTCCCACAGCTTTTATACAAGATGTTTTAAAATTCCAAGTATAAGTTGTGAATCAAAATACTTTTCTAGATTTCCTAGATGCTTAGGGAATGGAAAAAATCCCCTTACTGTAAATCTCTAATGGCAAATCCTTTTCTCTCTCATAGTTCAGCAAAATTCCACTTGAGTGGTGCAGCAGAAAAAGAAAATCCCAATTTTATCAAAACAAACCCATGAAACTCTTTTAAAGGTTTTAAAAATCTTTAAAGGGTAGAGACACCTGCATTCACTCAAAGAGCCCCAGCTGAGTTAAAGACACAGATTGTGTGTTGTGGAAACTCAAGCCAAGTAGTGAACGATGAAAAAACTCTTCTTTTAATTTTTTGGCTTCTGCTGTCTTATCAGTGTTCTGCCCACCTGAACCAAACCCTGTGAAAAATGTATTTCCCCAAGTTCAAATGTGCAGTGTAAAACAATATCTAAAAGAAGTTAATTCCATTGCTTGTTCCTTAAATAGTTTTCAGTGCGAGAGATGGTTTTATAATCATGTGTCTATGATCAGAGACTTTTGGATAGACACCAAATCAAAACATCAGCAAAGAGAATGGGGTGATGTGGAAAACTGATTTATTCATTCAGAGTCAATAAAGTAAGCATGCAGTAGCTGGATTGTAAATAGCACTGTGGAGAAGATTTATAAGTCTTAACATGGGGAGACAGGTTTATCCTGGTTAAAAGCACATTTTAACTGGAAGAACCCTTCGCCGTGTTTATAAAATGAGGCCTTGTGTGCAAAATGAAACCTTAGGCCTGTGTGAATTTCAAATGGGCAAACAATGTCATCTGCAACCATGTTTTTCATCTCTAAAGTAGAAAGCTAAAATTTATCTGAAAATGTAAAAAAAGGAAGATAAAAATGCTAAGCAAAATAATTCTATGCCTCAGCAGGAGTATGTACAGTGCTTAAAACTTCCCTTTGCTCCAGATTGCTGTGTTTATAAATCAAAATTATATGTCCAGTGGGGAAAAGGGAAGTAAAACTGTTTCCAAATGAAAAAAGGACAAGTGATTCATTTCTGTTAAAATCATAATTGAAAATACAGAATGTAGAAATGCTCTTGGTTTACTTTTGTATTTATTTGTAACATTTGCTTTGTTGCAGTTAATATGATCAAGAGACTGAAAAAGAAACCATTTACCGCTATAAATCTTCCAACTATTTGAAAAAGAATACACATCGCAGACCTTCTGCACCCTATAAAGTAGAGCTTCATCTTTACCAGGGATAAATGCACTTCCTTCGATTTCCTGATAGAACAGGCCATTCCAGTATTTCTTTTATTAAACAAAAAAAATCTTTAAAATGTCTTTATTGATTGTAGTTTATAAACAATTCTGAAGAAAGCCTAGTGAAATCTAATGAGGTATTTCCCTTTGCAGCGGGACATGATTCAAACATGCATATGTGCAGCAAGGAAAATAAAAATTGACTCTGACAATCAGATACCCCAGCGAGCTTCTATCTTTGCAACAAATGTGCTCTAAATTCCAATGTGCTTTGACAATCACCATTTATTTCAATGCATCTTCCCCAGACACTAATTCTTACGAGCCAAATCCCCGTCTCGTGGAAGTCAGAGGGAGGTTTGCCATAGGTATCCATGTTGGAAAGATTTGATCCTAACTATGCTTAAAAGCAATCAGATGGATGCAAAATGAAAGGAAATGAATGTATTTACCCCTTGAAGTTCAAGGACATGGAAAAAGCATATGTCTGGCATTTTTATTCTGAAGCTCTCACATGCTGACAGAATATCAATCGCCCTTCACAAGTTAGCAAGATGCCTCTTCAGTGGCTCTTCACAGGCCATTTAGGGGTGCAGACAATAATCTTCCAGTGAAATAAGTCAATTTGTCTCCTTAGGTATGACATGCCCTTCTGACAGCAATATACTGTTCCCAGTACTTCATCTGTGCTAGAGTCTCTCATAGGGTTTTGGCTGGACATAGAATGGAGACAATTGGATTCAAAGATGTGCTACAAACATAGTCCACTGAACCAAGAGGTGGATAAGACTCCTTTATGGACAGGAAAACTTAAAAGCAAGAGGAAAACAACTACTGTGGGCATCTCTGGACACAAGGAGGACAATCCTAAAAGAATGGTTCTAGGGTGCATGCGAAATGAGTGCTTTAGAAATTCCGTCACTTATATGACTCTCATTATCAATAACGAGAAGTTATTGATAATTAATTCTGACAAAGAGATAATGTAACAAAGAGATAAAGACAATTATATAATCATAGGTTAATTTTTTTAAGGCCATTTTTAATGTATGTTGAAAATAAATAAAGATTCAGATGTTAAACTCATTTAAACATTTAAGGTAGATTTCACTGGTCTTCTGAGGTGGCTGTGTACATCAGCAGGCTTAGACCATGGGGTGAAGATAAAGACTAAGCAACCAGATTAATGTTACAGAACTAGTCATCCTATAACTGTGGAAAGTCATGTCAGTGAAAGAAAAAATCTTCAACATACCCTCAAGTCCCAGTGACTTTGCCTTGCAGGATCAGCCTCTCACTTCCTCCATGTGACATCCGTGACTCGTCACAGCTCAGCACCACAGGACAAACTTTGGGCGTTTCCAGTCAATTCAGAGAATAAATAAAACACACAGTAATTATGAGAAAACTGTGATTACCCTTCAGCAATTCCATGAATTAAATAAAAAAGAAAAGTGCTCACTGCACATTGGTCACGCAGTCCTGGAGGAAAGCCAGTTTCAAACAAGAGAAACTTGTATATCTCTGAAGAGGTGAGAAATAGAGAAAAAACAGTTCTTGCCTTTTAATACAGTTTCAGCAGTCCTTGAAATGCAGTGGTGTGCTGTTGATTTCTATTTCATGGATTTCATCAAATCTGAAGTGATGGTCCACATATCTCCTATTGCTGAGGCATTAAGACAATGTGTAAAAGGAGAAGTGTGACAACAAAGTAGGAAAGTCTCCCTTTCTCAGAAATCATGCTAATACCTCCAAGCAGGTTCTTCAGTTCAGGTCTCTTACATTTTTATTTCTATTCCAGCTGTTCCTCAGACGGATTGGTAGAAAGGTGTGACTCCAAGGAAAGTTTGGATTGCTCGTCCAGCTGTTCATTTTATTCTCTACATTTTAACAGGGGCAAAGAGAAGACCTTGTGCAGCATAACTCCAGTATGTTTTGTAAATATACTTGTCAGGAGCTGTAAAGCTGGGTGAGGACTTCCGCTGTAATTTCTACAACAGTGCATTCTCACCCAGCAAAGTGCTTATCTCTCACTAACTGTGTAAGTACTACATGCCTGACAACACTTCCCATTTCCTAGAACTGCCTCAATTAAATTTCTTTCTATAAAGCCTGGAATAAAACCAGTAAAACTCATAAAGTTGCTATCACCTATCAGGGGAACATGAGCTCGTGGAGTGGGAGTTCAGAACTACATCAGTCCATACACACAAGTTGCTAAAAATCTTTGAGTGGATGAGTTCTGGTTACTTAGACTGACTTTAATGTGCAATTCACAGAAAGACATTCATAGGTGCGCTGTGGATCAGGATGTACTTGGCAGGTATGACATTAAAGATGCTTTTTCAGACACATAAATAATAATGCTTCATTTTTTTCACATACTCAAAGCACAGATGAGGAACTGGGTGATTGAAAGATTGCGTGACTTAGCCAGGGTCATACAGGAAGATTGTGTCAGTGCTGGAAACTGAATGCAAAATTTCCAGCTCCCAGTTAGCTTTTTCTACCACAGTAGGAAGATTACTGAGTGTATCATTTCTCAAATAACTGATGGGAATGTTGAAAGGTGATTCCAAGTGTACATAAATACATCATGAAAGTATAGATTTGAAAAAGACATGTCATAAGCATTGCACCCTGATCTGTATTTCCTCATCTATGTGTTCAAGTGGCTTAGTTACAGTGGTAGTAACATTGCATATGAAAACCCATGCATGGGCATCCAGAAACTCTGCCACACTGCCTTTAGTATGTTCATATTGTCCTCTGTGGACAGTAGTTCCTGTTCTCATAAAATTGTGATTTGTTTTTTATTTATGTGTAGCAACACTCTCCTCCCCCTGCAAATATCATTTTATTTCGTATCTTCTAGATTTGCCAACAAACCACTCAAAAAGTGTGAGCTTGTGACTCTTGTTAGCTGTGAAGGTGAAGCAATTAATGCAGACTCCTACCTTAGCCAGCCTTCATATTATGTGTTACCTTGCATTTCCTTCTTAATGTTGCCATCTCTATTTGTCTTTGCTTTAATATCATTACCTATGCTTTTTTTTTTTTACTTGGTGTTGCTGTGCTTAGCATTTGTCAGTGTTTTCAATAGAATTGAAGTAGATTCAAGTATCACAAAAACACAGTGGACGAGCAGACTCTCTAGTCTGACTTTCTGTGCAGCCCAGATTATAGAATTTCACTTACTAGGTCAATGACAACAAAAGTTCTTTACTAAATCCTTGGGATATTTTGGTAAACCAAACAAAGCCCCACAGAGGGAACCTTCTAATTAACTATCCTACCCTACCAAGTTGTCTCTTGCTTTACCTTTTATTTTTATAGTTGTCTTTGCAATGAAATTAATAAACAATGCAGAAAGGCAGAAGAATATCAGCCAAAAAAAGGTCATTTTAGTAGGACTGTGATATATGATACTCCTGAAAAAAAGTCAAAGCAATTTTGGGAAAAAATGGTATGATGAATTACAGGAAATAGTAAATTACAGAGAAGTGTATTCTTTGTTACTTTTTCATAAATCCCTTGAAACTATTGTCATGAGATGATGATTAGAAATTTCAGTAACACAGTGGTGGAAACAGTCTGGCTCAAGACACTGTAATTTTGATTTTGTCTTCAAAACTTCCACTGTTGGATGTGTGAAAAAAATTGTGTATATATTAATTAACACTAATCCATACAAACAATTAATAATTTAAACATTGTCATTTATCTTCAGGCAAATTATTTGTAACTTACTAACCAGTTCCATGAAGCTGAAGTCATATAGAGATCAAATCCAGCCTTCTAGTTTCATTACAAACCAAAACTATAGGTAGCTGAATAAAATTGTGTAAATTATTTACTCCCTTGTCATTTCCCTTCAATCTGCAAATGTTTCCTTGAACATAGTTTTGTTGTATAAGGGCTCTTAGGGTCTTGGCCATCTAAGTATAGCTACCAACCAACATTTCTGAGGTGCTATCAGTCCATCTCACAATTTGCTGTGCTTTTATCTACCAGTGTGCCCTTTTGTAAACTGACAAAGATTTACAGTTCAGCATTTATTTACTTACTTAATCTACCATGTAGAAATGAACTTAAGTAGGTAGTTCTTAACATACATTGCTGCTGAGGTCTTATGTGAAAGACTGTGGCTTTATCTATTTACATGGCATGAAACCCATTTGCTTCCTTCCCAGAGGAGTTCCTACTGGAGAGGTGCCTTCTGCATTTGGTCTCTGTTTATTTTTACCCATCAGGATTTTACACAATGCTCACTAAGATGGACAGACAGACACCTATTTACTAAATGGGTTTTCATGAGCCAGGAAAATGAGGAAGGCATATTGATTTTTCGGTTTGCTGTTAAGATACATTTTGAAATTCTGTGGTTTTGGCTGACACTATAGCCTTGGCAGGGGCTTAAACCTGCAAAATTAAAACCTAAAATGTGCCACTTCCCCAACTCATTGCTTTTAATTGCTCATACCAGGAGTGCTGTGGTTCTCCGACACAGCAGCCGTCAGCCACCCGTGGCAGATGTTCGGCTGCTACCATGCCTCCACTGGACACAGCCCACTGTGTGCTTGCCTTACAGCCTCCAACACCAGTTACATTGCACTCAAGATGATGGGAGCAAGTGTGTGGTATCTCACAGACAAAAAAAAAATCACCCTTTCTCCTTTTGTAACAGAAGAGATCTCTGATATTTCTCACGTCAAGTTTCCAACTAGCTCCTAGCTTCTCCTGAAACATTTCCCTTCAGTGGCTCTTGGATTTAATGACTGAGCACTCAACAGTATCCACAATAACATTTCCAAATCTAAGTGTCAATGCTGCGATCCTGGAAGAGGTTGATGGGAATTATGCCCTTAACTTCCCCTTCAGTAAGACATGAGCACATACCTTGCATTCCTACAGCAATCTCACCTCAATTCCATGTGTGCTGGTTGTAGGCAACAAAACCTCAAATCCAGCATCTCGCTCAAGCTTATGCTTCATTCATAATTACATGAGCGTTCTGATTGCAGTCCCTGCCATAACTTGAGACTCTCATATCACCTGGTGTTTTAACTGGCTGGTGAGCTGGGTCCTAATACAAAGCCAGGCAACCGAAGAAATTAGAAGTATGGTTTTCACAAATGCTTCAGCTGGTTCCCTTTAAAAATGAAACTACTTGCAATGCATGTCTAAATAAGGATTACAGTGGGTTGCTATAGGCACCGAAATTTGGAGATGTTGGTCTAAATGACTTGGATATGGAGAAGTGTTTTTTACATGAGGTGTTATATAAAACTCTTGAGTTTCAATAAATAAACACAGCTATTTAGGAAGTGGTGACAATGTGCAATCTGCAAAAATGGGAAGCCTCGGAGGTGCTGTGGTAATAATGCAGTTACTTGAAGCACATTTAAGATACAAATATCTCTGTGGTTTTTTATTTGCTTCCACTCTTTGAGTCATTCTGAGAAACTTCACAAAGCTGTGCACATTCCAGTTATGGCTGAAGCATGATGCACTCCTCAGTGCGTACAAAAAGCTTTACTCTGGAGAGCCACAGCGTGGGTTGAGAAGAAGTCTTTTCCAGGCACTGGAAAATGCAGATTTGAAGCACAATGTAATGGAGAACTTTGTTTTGTGTATATAAAAGAAGAAGAAGAAAAGCAAATATTCTTGGCACGAAGAGACAATTAAAAAAAATAGGGAAGTAGCTACTCTCAAGACTGAAGCACTTCTGTCATAACATGTGTTGCTGAAGTCACCAAAATGTGGTGGTGGTAATGCTGTGGCTTTGTCCTAGCTGGAGAGAGGCTGTTTTGACAGTAGTATTTTGAATATTTATTGCCAAATCGAAACACAACCAAATCCCTCAGAGGGTTTACCTTAACCAAAATTTGTCAATGGAACAACAGTTCAAAGTAGTTTTACATCATCTGATTTCGAAAATCAAGGAATGGATGCAATTAAATTAGTTTCCAGAAGATACTCAAGGGCATGATAACACTGGAATAGAGTTGATTCTGACCTAGAAGATTCAAAGACAAGAGAAAACATATCCAAATATCTTGAAATAAAGCAAAACACCACAACAATAAACATGTTTTAGCTTATATTGCTTAAAAAAGATATTTTTTCTCCTCTTGATGCACTGTGAAGTAGTTACCTGGTGATCAGGATTGCTAGATTATAGGTGCAGATTTGCACACAGTCAGCTGCCAAATGCTTCCTAATGCCTCAGTTTACTCAAGCCCACAAAAAACATAAATACCCATAAATTTGTCCAAGAGTCTTGAATGAAATACTCAGCACAAGTAGAGAATGCTCATGATCACTACTTAAAGACAGCATTTTCTCTGTGGTTTACGGAGGTCCACAAGACCCTTCAAATTTAGTCAGAGTTTGCACTGGAGGTCTGACCATGCCTGCTCCTGTTCCTGTCAATTATTCAGGCTTTTTCTAGCTTTCCCGAGAGAAGTTGCTAAACACTTCCAACAAACCTGACTCTTCCCTCAGTTTTCTCTGAGCCATCCATCTTCAGCAAACTCAATGCTGATAGATCCCTGAGGTCATCCATAACCCCAGAAAGAGTCCAAGGCTGCTGTGTAGATAGAGGAATCTGCCTGGTGAAGGCAGTGTGGTGTTATCACAGGATGAAAGCCTCACAGGTCATTTAAAAGACCAAGTTGAGGGGAGTACCTTTTAGCCTAAAAGGAAATACATTCTTTTTTTGTACGCAGATTAACATCCAAGTTTTCAGAGCAGCTCAATTCCCCCAAAACTTATTGGTAGCAATGCTAGGTACCAAACAGTATTTCAGTGAAAACGGGAGATACTTCTTCAGATAACAAAGCCCAAGACTAATTTTAAATGCTTGCTGGGCCAGGCCCAAAAACTGAAATGAAGACCTGACCCCTACCATACACACATGTGACCCATTCCTCTAACTGCTTGTAGAGGACCAGGTTGGAGGTACTGAGCACGTCAACACTTACCCAGGCTTGGAGGGCAGGGTGCTTTCCCATAATCAGGGGGAAGTGTTGGAATGTGTTGTTGCTATGTTTTTTTAAGTCCTTTTGAAACTGTGACCCTAAGGAAATGAGGAAATACGGAGGATGAGGTTACATTGTTATTATTATTTCACGTTTTTTTGAACACAGGATTATATGGCTGGATTCATATTATATTAGTTTTCTAAATCTTTAAAAACACAGGGCCTACAGTGCACACTCAATGCTTTATTCATTAAATTAATGTATTTCTATTTTTAAAAAATCCTGCCTATCTAGCAAGCATTCCTTTTTCCTCTCGCTCTGTCTCTGTTTCTCATACTCCTTGGAATATTCTTGTCTGAAAACACGTGTCTGTAACTTTTGCATTTTATAAATAAAAGATTTGATTTTCGAACAATAAATCAGTGTTTCTCGCTTTCCTTAATTTTCGACTTCATGCTGACAGCCACTCTCTGACCAAGTTTCCCAACACCCTCACACAATGAGCAGCCATTGCCTTAAAAACAGGTGGGGTCAGTCCCTTCAGACATGCAAGTGGTTATACTGTTTTCCCAAGAAGTATTTTCCACACCCGAATGTGTTGCCAGGTGCTTCAAATAAAAGAAAGACAATCTTCATGTTTTCCCTGAGACAGGGACCCTGAACCTGCACCCACATAAAACAGTTAACATGATTGTCAGATCTGTTGACTTCAGTGGAATTTTTTCTGATTTATGTCAGTCTCAGGAAGACCACAGAAAGGCTCATCAGGTTTACTGTTCCCTAAATCCCAGCACAAGAAAGATTATGGTATTGCTACCACAAGAAACAATCTGTGTGTCGTGAAACTGTATTATCTCTGACCTTCTAGTATTTTTTTTATGCAGATGTAAAATGTTCCTATACTGATTTCTGAAATAGTATCTTCATATACATATTTATTTTTTAAAAAGTCTTGTGTGTGTGTTGTATAGCTATAGTACATAGCAGAAAAGAGATGAAGAATCATCTCACTAATGTTAATTAGCCGGTCTGGAAGTTTTTCTCTTCAGTGAAAGACTGGACTTGGTTGACTGCCTTAAAGCATTTCATCAAATGCTGTTGCTGTGTCTTTGGGTAACTAGAGGGATAAATGAAAATGACAACTAAAATACATCAGGTCTTTCTTCTGACAGCTAGCCTAGGATTTATTAGAAATGATCACTTGTCTTGCCTTCAGATGTACAGACTCGTATGGCCAGAAGCCTTGCCTCCTTAGATATCTCTTTTTCTTTCTTTCTCACTATTGTCTTATTCTTCTGACAGTTGTATTTGCCCTGATTTGACTCCTTTTTTCCCTTTCCTCAGTTACCAGGGTTCTCTTTGCATCACTAGCAAATTTAAGTTTTCTTAAGATCACCATCTACACCAGAAACACATTTCTCCTTCAAAAATCACCATTTCCTTCACCCATTTTCACAGATGAGTAATAGAGTGCAAACTAGTTAACTTCTAATTGCCATCACAGTATTTCCTCAACAATCCTTAGACAACCACTTTCTAAAGCACTGTAAAAAGGAAAAGAAATTGTTGGGATGATTTCTAGATTCCAAATTGTCATCTACTACTGCAGGTCCTGTCCAAAATACCACAGTAATATACACTCAATATCGCTGAAACATGAACTACATGCACAAATCAATGCTCCTGCACAGCAGAATTTCCTCCATAGTACATGGGAAATTTCACAACATCCAGAGGAATCACTCCTCCACTCCACTGCTCCTTGAAGAGCTACTAAATAAACTCCTTGACTTATCAATTTGAGCTGAACAAAGAGGATGGTTAAAGAGCACTGGAGTGCAATGCTCTGCCAGGCACCCTTTACTCAGTGTCACAATGGCCTCTAGTGGATTAGCAGCAATTGACAGACAGCTGTATTATTCGCCCCCACCTAAATTTCCTTTGTGGTTCCCTTGGCATAAAGGGAGAACACCACGCAGACCTGTGCACCTGCTGCATTTGAAGCCAGAGCTGCAGTGGGGGTGCAACAGAAAGAAAACTACCGACTGCTCCCAGATGGATGTAGCATTAACCTCTTGCTTTATCAATAGAGGATAACTGGCTTCTTAATGAAAAAAAAAAAAAGAACAAATTCATTTCTAACAGGCTTATTTGGTTTGACCTCCTGCTGGTTTTAACACCATCTGATGGAAGTTTATTGGTAGGGCTTCTTTTTTTTTAATTAAAAACAATGAGTACAAACCAAAAGGACGAGGAAAAATTCAAAGGAGAATGTGTTTTGAAGACAGCCCATGTCTTTCACAATACTGGCTTTTAAAGGTCCACTGTTATGTTTGTGTAATTTATGCTTCCTGCTTCATAAAACACACTGCCTTATCGCTGAAGATTTTGTGCTGCTATTTGTCTGTTAATGGCATGGCAGGGAAAGCGTTACCAGACACAGTCATCTCGAACTTTTACTTGTTAATCTTGCTTTCAGGATTCAGCATGGACTCCTTGTTTAATGGTGGATCATCCATCAGAGGCACATGTGAACTAAAATGCAAGGACCTCTAGTTCACCCAGGGTGCAATCAGCGCCATGCCCACCTCCAGAGAGCTGCCACAAGACCATCTGAGACTGGACAAAACAAATGGGGTATTTTTTAATATGGGTCAGGGAAAAAAACCGGCAATTTTCAGAAAGAAAAGTCAAGTGAGCAACCCCCTGTTCATCAGGGTCCAACCTGATCAGCTACTGCAGTGAGGAAGGTTTTTCTTGTCCCAAAATGCAGTATGACATTTCAATGTACCTCATACACCTAGGTAGAAACAGAGAAGAGACACTCTGGTTTTGCTAAGAAAGGGATACTTTATCATTAACTTCACTGATGTCTGGATCTTCCTGCTCTTTGAAGGCATGAATCAATCTTCTTCTTACAAATTAACAGAGTGACTGGAAGAGAGAAATAAGCTGCTGCTTATGCAGCGCTGTCTCCTTTTTTTGACTCAGGGATCTCTCAGCTTGTTCCTAAATGTTTAATTTATAAGTCAGGGTGAAAGGCTGTCCTCTGAAGAACTGTGTATGGCCCGTCCTACAGCACTTATTACAAAGATCAACATGGATCTTTATAATGGGCAAATCTACAATGAAACTGGAAGAGGGAATAACCACCTCCTTTATGAACTCCTGGAGCTTGGTGATGTTTATACCTTTTAGGTACACTCAAGTAGAATTCAGTCTTATGCAAAGCCCTGTGCATTGTGCAGATTCAGGGAATCACCTACAGAAAAAGGCAGGCTCTTAATGAAAAATGGTTTTTATCTTGGCTTCAAGAGCATGGAGGGCTAACAGTACACCAACAACTACTCCTGTTCCACAGTGGTGGTGATGGGCATGAGATAGACAAGTTGATTCCACTGCCCCTCTTCCTTGGTAGTTTCTTTGGCATATAAAAGATGATTTTCATTTCCATGCAACATGTTTAGATGTAGGAACCAATATAAACCCTTGTAGGTTAAGCATCTGATGGAAGAAACTTCTTAAAAGAGATAGGTTGATAGTGAACATTTTCGTAGACCTAGGTCCTGGGGAAACTTGCCCTAGCACATGTGTTCTTCAGTTCCAGAGTCTTGGGAATCCTTAGGAGCACATTAAGGCCCTGATGTGAGTCAGTGCACGGACCAGCATTTGAACTTTGCGAAGAAGGTTTCTGTGGAACACAACTACTTCAGACACCTCAGATTCCCTGCAAATAAGAGAAGCTTAACCACTTTTAGCAGTTACACTCCCATGTTTGGCTGATTTGCTATTGCTACAAGTTCTGTGCTCTGCTTTACCAAGGAAATAAAAAAACTAAAGCCTTAATTTTCTATCAGAGGCCCTCCACAGTAAAAAGATAGAAGAGGAGAAGCAGAAAACACACAATACAAAGGCAGGCTTGTGTCTTCGCTGAATATTTTCATTGTTTTCCCTGAGGGGCCAGTGGGTTTTTACACACAGCACTAGCACATTTCATTTTGACAACGAGTCAGACTTTCCAAGTCACTACACCTTTCACAACACACTGCAAACTGTCAGTGTGGTAACTTCCTTAAGTTTAATGAAGTTACCTTATGAAATCTCTTGACAGAGCTGGCCAAAAACAAAAACAACCAATGAAAAAAAACCAGCATAAGGCTACTCAAAAAATAAGAGGAGACCCCAATGAAATGTGATACGTGCAATCTGGAAAACCTCTGAAGGGAGAAGGAAGAGTTGTGTGCTGACAAATGATGCAAACTTCTGGCTAAGATTAGATTTCTGCAGGCTGGATTTAGATAACTGGGTCAGTTTTCCAATGGACTGAATGCCTGCCTGCCCTCAGGATCGGCCCTGCAAGCCACAGGTAGATCACTAAGTTAGCAAAATCCAAGTTTTAGCCTAAAAAAAGCCCCAGGGCGTATATGTTCTAAAATACTCAAAGGACTGTTGCCATTTGAAGTCTAAATCTTCAGGAGGTCTTTTTGCACAGCCCCAAAACTATTTCTAAATAAGTTCTCAAAATAAGTCTTCTCTTTTTTTATCATGGCCATATGATGAGTGTAAAGAGGTAGCTTATCGTTCATGGTACAGCTGAAGAAATTCCAGAATAACAGTCACCAAAATGAAGGCACGTCTGTCAGTGACTAAAAGCAGAGACACCCACTTAGACCAGATTAAAAAAACATATATAATTTAAGGATTAACAGGCTAGCAGAGTTGGAAGAATTTCAAGCTCTTTACTGGGCTCAGGAGGCAATCTCTTTTAATATTGTATTTCAGTCAGAAGCAGTCAAGGATTAGTGGTTTCAGCAGAGCAAGTCAATACTGATGCATGAAAATGCTGGGGAAGGTCAGCACTGTTTGTCCGGAGTGCTGTGGAAAGGAACAGGTATATCATCTTTATTTGTGCTGTTTGAAGCCAAAAAGAGTATGTAGGAGGAGAAGGTCTTTCTAACAAGCTTTGTTTAAACTGGATCTCTGTCAATTTACAGATGCCATTGCTGGGGAAATCTGCCTGTTATTCAATGTTTTTTTG